GTCTGAAAGGAAGTAACGCTAGAGTAGACTCGCGAAAAGTGTATAAGACACTTTTAAGATCAACTAAATAGCTAAGCCCAAGGGAAGTCGTTCGGGGAGGCCCTCCCTAATTCCACAAGGGTGAGAAGAAACACACACGATAACGAAACGTTGAATCATGTAGAACTCGTAGGGTAAATGCAAAGCAAAATAGTAAGAATATGCAGTAAGCTAAGCAAAGAGGTAAGCAAGAGACATGTTAGACTATACTACAACTACTAAACGTGTTAGCTACTCTACTACTATATACAAAAAATAAAATAAGAACGTCTACAATCAACAATTACTTTAAATAAATGAACAAAATAAGCATGCAAAATAAAAACTAATTCAAATAAAATGAACTACTAAGAACATGCAAGATAGAGAACTATTTTAACTTTGGGATCTTCTTTGTCTTCTCCACCGTCGATCTGAAACAGATAGGGTGGCAATAGATTAGTAAATGAGCAATTAATAATGTTAACTGTGGTGTATTCTCACCTTAATTAGCTGTAGAAAGTTGGAAGTGTGAAAAGCAGACCAAATACTAGAAGAACGATGATGTTGTAGAGAATTTCTTTGCCAAAAATCAACTGAGTAAAGGTCCACAGCAAACAAAGTAGGAATGAAATTCAGCTTCAATGTTCTCTCACTTGTTGACCACTCTGTAGAAACGAACAAAAAAACCAATTAATTACACTATCAAATTAATATGACATTAAATAAATTAAACACACTGTTGACTGAATTTTCTGATATCACTTCTTTATTTTATTAACTGGTGAAATAAATAAAATAAATGAAATGAGGTTTCTTCTTTTCTTTTATATGTAAAAAAAATTGCTCTATCATCTATTTTACGTTAATACACTGCTGGAATAAGCATAGTCCTGCAGATCTTCTGAAATGGTACTTAAAACTTGACTGTTAAAAGTGGGTACAAATACCACAGTTGAAGTTTTTGGGATAATTTTCTCTGTAACACAAGTATTCTTACCTTAATTGACTACAAAATCGTCCATGTGAAAGTCTGAAACTGAATAATTGCAGAATTATTTAAGTTGAAAAATAGAACAAAAAATGGAGGACAAGGATATGGGCCACAGATTATTTGTTGTTGTCATAGAAGCACCATTGCCCTTGATCCATCACAGTAGGTGGTTTAAACTGTAAAAAGGAAACGGTTATAAGTATGAATAAAATAAATCAACAGACATGAAATAAATAAAAACATATACAAAGCAAAATTGATACAGACAAAAACCAATTCCCTAAAACAGTTACTTATTGTAAAAATTAAGAAATAAGATTTCCTTGCTAAACCTTTAAACAATTTCTTAAAATACAAAAACAAGTCAACCTGAATTACCTGTCTATTCTATTAACGATTGCTTAATCTTCAATTGAAGCCCTGACTGTCTTAATGTTCTGTTAATTTACTTTCAGCTATTATGGTTCAATATATAACGCGCATAAAATTATGTCAACCTTCAATTATTATATCAACACAGCGCCATTATAACATGTCGTGACACAATCATAGATAATAGATATACAGAATAACACCATCATGCACGTAGATAGATCATACATAAGACACTATAGATATGACACCATGCTTGCACCATAGATAAGGTTACGTATGTATATCTATGGTCTATGGTTATGCACACACCCTATAGATGAGACATACACTTTACCATAGGCTGCCACTACAGAAATAAAAATTGATTCTACACTAACACTAACTACAAAATTAGTTTCTCATTATCAATTATTAACAACGGAATGTAGCGTATATTAATGCTATTTATCTTTTGTAGGTATGGTTATAAAAGAGATATTTAACTCTACAACTATTTGTTTGTAAAACTATGATTAGCGGTAATAGCGCCACTATCTTGCGGATTTATTTCAGGGATATACCGCGCATCTTTACTATTCGAAAATATATTTCCATCCATTTCTTTAATAAATACTTTGTTCATGTTCTGCGCCTCCACAATTTTTTGTAAATGAATATGATTATGGTTTCTTAACATTTTCTAAATATCAGTAGCATAATAGGATAGTATACTTCTCATTTAATTCTTTAATACAATTCTCTTGTAAACTTAGTTTATGTGAAATTAAAATAAATATTCTAATTACTGAAATACAGATTAATAAATAGTTTTTCCGTCTATTTTAAAATAATAAAGAAAAGCACACTCAAAACTTAAATAAACAAATAAAATAAACTCACCCTTCTTCGCATTCATGACCTCAAAGGATCCATCCAGTACAAAATTTACTTCTTTTTTTTTGTATAAGGAAATTCATGGGATAAGAAATTAAGCAGAAATAATATAAAAATGATTTGTAAGTACTTGAAATACCCATAATTTCATTAATAATAAAGATAAGCAAGTTAATGCATTTTTAAAAAGTATGTGAAAGTCCAATACTAACAAAATTAAATTAAAATGATAGTAATTGGGAGGAAAATTATTCTTCAAAGGAAATATTATTTGTATCTATAAATGTGATTTAATCCATCATCATATTTACAACATTGACAACTCGCTTTGATTTTTTTTACTAACTTACAGAGGTACTCGATCGCTATACAGGGTGTGGGTGTATTGTGTTTGTTTGCCTTTTTTGTGTTTTTCTTGCACTTTTTTTCTCATTATTAAATTAATAATTATTATAACAATAGTACATTTGCTACAACGTAAATAAATAATCGACCGCTCCTAACAATTAATTTAAAACTAACATTTACAGTTTGGCAATAGTTTACGTGGTATTAGGTCATAGTAGTAATAGTAGTAGTACTAAATTAATTAATCATTTATTAATTAATACGCGCTTTTATTAATGCAGGACTCAATCGCTTCAAACACAACCATTCACGATGGTCAGAAAAAAAAATTGGTAACTGGATACGGACAAAACATAAATAAAATATAGATAGTGTAACAAAATGATCATTATTTACTATTTATTTGGCATATTAAATACGTATCATTTGGAATATAAAGGACCAGGATATCTAAGAGGGTGAAAATTGAACCAATTGAGTTTACAAGTTTGCTGAAAGATATTTTTTACTATTCTTTTTATTGTTTCATATATTTATTCCAATGATTTACGATTACTCCGATAATTAAACGTAATTTATTATTTTGGTGGTCAAATTTGTCTATTTTTGGTATTTTTGTCTCTTTTAAATTATAAATTTTTATACGGCTAGGAAATAATTTTCAGAATTTGAGTAACACCTCATTCTTATGGGAGCCATTTTCATACTCTCATCAATCCTAATTCATGTTTAATTAATACATTAGTAAGAGTTTCTCAAAATTAAATATCTAATAAATTTAGTTTACAAACCACTATATTCCAAAATAAAAACTAGGGTAGA